CGTTGAACAAAAACAACCATTAATGATGTCATTCATGTGTAAGCATTTTTGTAGCCCGCTCGCGAGCTCAATAAGAAGTTAGTTGTCAATCTGAAATACTGACCAAGCAATGTGTAAAAAGATGTCAGTTAGTATTGGACCTTATCAAAGGAGCTCTCTGTTACAGCCGCGTAGAATGAAAGTTTTTTTTTTATCATCAACTTGTAGTTCGAATTTCTTCATGTCAGCAACAATTTATTATTAAGTCAAATGCTGACTGATCTTTCCCGTGCTGATTGTTCGGCCTTTATATATACACTGAATTGACAACAGATATTTCCGTTATTTCCCGATCATGACATGGACCACACGGGGGGTTCGATCGGTCGGCAGGGGATACTCACTTCTCCATGGCACCTGATCCAACGTCTGATGATTTGGGGGTCCGTGTTCGCTCCGTTCCTACTTTGTAATGTTTAAAGTACTTTTGAGCTCGAACATTGTTAATTCCCGATATTTCAAAAAGACCCTTTGGGAATCTACCTAAGATGAATGAGATACTCTAGCGCTGGGTATAGTGGAAGTAGATATAGGATGATAAACGTGGTGACTTTAACTTTACAGACGTCACCTTCCCTTACTTATGCAACAATACACCTTCATCACTTGCATACGGAGATTATATATCTCAGGATTCGATACGCCAGAGCATGCTCTACGTATGAACAATTTCTAAAACGAGGTTAATCATTGACAAACAAGTTGATGAAACAAGAATATCAACAGTCTCGTTTAAAGTCATCATTTCGTAAGTTCTATGACCTTGTCAGCAAATGATACAATTTATCATTGAGTCAAATGCTGCCTGGCGTTTTCCATACTAATTGTCAGTCCATTGTTCGTACACTGAATTGACGATGGATTTTTCTGTTATTTCCTGATTATGACAAAGGAGCACACGGCGGGTGTGACCGGCCTGCAGGCATGCTCACCTCTGATGTTTTTGGGGATCCGTGTTTTCTCTGCTCCTATTTTGTATTGTTTTATAGACTTTTGCTCTTTAATACTGTTCTTTATCTCCATATGTTTCATAGGAAATTTGTAGCTACATTAAGTATAAAATAAGGCTTTTATAGTTGCTTGAAAATGTGAGGAAATTAAAAAAAAATATATTTACAGACAGGGTTATTACAAGGGCCATTAAATTAACGGAATGCTTATTGAAGGGGACTATCTACGACGAATTACGTTTTTTAAAAAAAATCATCTAAAAACAATAGTCATGAGCGTACGTTTAAATTTGTCCGTTCAGATTCAGTTACTTTTTTGTCTTCCGCTTTCAGGGAAAGTAGAGGATATTCATTTGGGTCCGTCTATCCGTCCGTCTGTCTGTATATCTGTCTGTCTGTATAACACTTTCCTTTCGTTTCTTATAGGCTTTTGTGATGCAAATTTTCACAACGAATTTGTGTGAAGACAAATTCAATGTATATATTCAAAACAACCGATAGATAAAGTCAAACTCAGTGTAAAATCTCTATTTATATAAGTTCAGTGTCAATATGTACATTATCCCAGGACACCAATTAGCACCAGTTAGTCATTTCTAATACAAGCTGTACATAGATATGGCAAACATAGTATTAAAAGTCAGTGGAGTAGATGGTCTAAGTGTCAATTCATAAACAACTTAAACAAATTTATTTATTTTATGTGTATTTATTTGTACGTTATTAGCAGGGAGATAAATATGATTCAAAAGATATATAAGAGGAAACAGCCATTCAATAAATAAAGGAAATATATAAAAAAAAATTAATTATTATAGCTTATTTTGTCCAATAGATCGGTTAACCTCTATGAATAATGTACATGTATTTTAGATTTGAGGGGGTGGATGGGGGCCATATAACATCTGTGTTATTAAAAGTAAGTAAAAAGTACATGTATTTGTGAATTACATTTCTTACGCGAAAGAAAATTAAATTACAATTATATGTAATCGAAAATTTGGTCATGTACGCTTCACTCTAATTACACTCTTCTTTAAATAACTTCAAAATTTGTAAAAAAATACTGACAATTACCATTACATATTTCCATTACCTCATCCTTGTAGATGGGCGAAAAAAAAATTTCCGGAGTAAACTTAACATTAATAGAGATATTTCATTCCTGAATGCTAACCTTTGCGTTTTATTTTCAAATGCGAAAACTTTGAAAACCTGTATTTCTATGTAAAAACAACTGGGAACATATATAATATGAAATTATATATATAAGCGTTTAGTTTGAAAAATAATGACGTCTTTCATTAAACAAGGCACATTGGATCGTTAATTTCTTTTATTTAAAAAATTCCAATGTATGAAAGGCAAAATATAGGAGCTCGTACATAAATGTATTATTGTAACAAAAAAGTTTTATTGAATATAGACCAGTCAAAAAAAATCAATATATAAATGAAGCGAAGTATTTACCTTTCAATATTTGCAAAGAAAGAAATTATCGCCCCATATTTCATCTTGCATACAGCGTAAACATTCAGCAGTCAGGGTCATTCAGCAGTGAAGGTTCTTTATCGTGCCATTGTCTACCTTAACATGGGGCCCAATTTTTCAAGATCTCAAAATGAATGTGACATGTTCCTTTGATGTCAGGTGTTTTGGTCTACCTAATGTTGTTCGGGCCTTGGAATCAAGAATCGTACACCCTATCACAAAGTAACCGTAACCGGGCAAAAAAAAAAAAACAAAAAAAAAACAAAAAAAAAAAAAAAAAAAACAACATAGATAAGGACAATATGCGTGTTGTTATCTTTAAGATCAGTTGTTATTTGGCATTACTCCTGTTTTCAGTGAAATAAACATGTACAAATATGAATCATATACAGCTCTTTGTGGTGTCCTTTATTTCAAATTCACTGGGTTACTAGTATATTTATCGAAGAAAATAATGCTTTTTGATTTAAGAATAAACCTTTTATACATCTAAATTATTTTCTTAATCACTATTGATTACATTTAACATGAAGAAACATGAAATCTCTGGGCATTGACCAAGTTTTATTTCAAAAACGACAAAGTTTAAGCATTTTGGACATTGTACAATGTTAAAAAGGACCACAATTTATATCAAATTTTAAGCATCACTTATACTAATAAATTAAAAATCCTTTGGCCATTTTCACACAAACCCTTACGACTATGATAAAGAATTGGCAATTCTGGAATAGTTTGTTTGATAAAGATATTGGTTTATTTTAAGATACGAGGGTTGTTCGAAAAGTTCGTGGACTGATTCAATGCTATAACATTCATACTATTTAGTCTGTGCTTTCAAAATTGTTAAGGAACACCAAACAACAAAAGTTAAACATGTTGAAAATTTAGCTTGATATCTTAAGTATTTATCAAAATATCTTAAAATAATAGACATTATATGATCACTCGGCACTGTCGCCATTTTGTTTCATGACGTAATTGTTTTTTGAGGTCCGCACTTCTACCTCACACACTTATCTTGATTTCTAGGAGTTAATGTAAGATTGAAACAAATCGTGTTTATTTGATTGTACAATGTCATTAACATCTAATTTTGATGCATATATAATTTTGTAAATAGATTTATACATAGTGAAAGATCCTATTTTGATAATAACAGCATATTTGCTTGTCGGACTTCAACTTATACCACACGTAATCAACGTCACTTTTCGATGTGACAAACTTTGAACACCCTTTCTACAAATCGACATTAACTTTTACATCTCTCGCCTCTCTGATCTTGTTTGGTATTTAAAAACAAGTACATTGAATGTATTTTTTTCTGTAGTCCATTTAGATATTTCCTAAATCTTTACCATTTTTTCCAGGGGTTGAAACTGTATACAATAGTATAAAAACAAACCCATCCCTTTTCTGACGTCAATAGAGCCCCTTAATTGTTTTTGGGCATTTCATATAAAATTTAAGATAAAATTTCAAAGGACTTACAGATTGGGGTAAAAATTCAATTTTTTCGGAATAATTGTGTCATACTACATGTCTGAATTATTGGGATTTTTGGATAACAAATGCTCATATAAAAAGTTTTTCGTCAGTCACACTTAATATAATACATTTTCAGTATATTGTCGATACATTAGCCTTGTCTGCAAATACACTCTATGACTTCGTATAATGTTGACAATTTTCATACTAATTGTTCGGCCATTTTTTTTGTACACATTGAATTGACGACGGATTTTCCCGTTTTTTCCCGATCATGACAAGAAACACACGGCAGGTGTGACCTGTTGGCGGTGGATGCTCTTTTCTCTATGTCACCAGATCCCATATGTGTTTTAAAGTCCGTGTTTGCCCTGCTCCTAAATTGTATTGTTTAAATAAACTTTTGGTATTGAATTCTGGTTTCTCCATATAATTCATTGTATATAGAGTAGAACTTTAATAAGCGTAAGATATTACTTTGGAAAGTCCTACGATACATATATAAGGATATTCATACAGTAATGTTATACCTTATACAAGAGGAAAATCAGGGGCTCATTGCTTTGAAAAAACGCTACAAGAACAATATTCAAACGGCGTTTTAAGTATGCTGAAACTAGTTTGAATAGAGCCGTCAATTTTTGGTGGTCATTTTTAAGTATATTGGAGTGGTGATGATTTGTGGTTATATTACCTACCTGTTGTTTATAGTTTTGTTCTACAGACATCATATATTTTTATGATCGGCATGTTCTATGTAGTTTCATTACCTTAAATAATGGCAACATTTGCTTATAAATGATGTTATATATAGTGAAATATTGAATTTCATTCTTGAGCAATATGTAATACATAAAGACAATTTTTTTATATCTATTTTTTTCTTGTTGATTTTTTTAATCTCAAAAACACCTCATCATATTCTCTATTTTTCAAATTTCAGATGACCTAGGCCATATAACAAATTATATTTATATACACGAGAAAGACGCCTACACTTATAACGAGGCCATGGAAGTTTGTACCAGTATGAATGCCACCATGTTAACCGTACAATCATGGCAGGAATGGTATACCTTACAACAGATACACAACTCCTCCAGGGGCTGGAATAACCTGCCGTAAGTCCAGTTATTGTGTTCTATAATTCTCTGTCTATGGGTATATTGTAACCAAACTAAACACGCTTAGTGTATAACTATGATGAGCAATTGTGTCTCTTTTATTTTGTTCAGTTTTTAAAATATATTTATCTTTTCTATTCTTATTTTGTGTAAATACCACAAATTAAAAAGAAAATTATATGTTAGTCAAAGGCCTCTTCTTTTTTGGGAAATGCATGCAAATGCTATATTTTTACAATACTACTCATTTTGAATTGATCTTTGTTCAAATCAACGAAAATGAAGACCCAGAAAAAGACTTTGTCTAACACATTACTACCTTTTGAAAATACCAATGCCTTGTGTTGTCTACATTTTGGCCCCAGTAAAAAAGAATAATCGATATTTTTCATATACCGTATAGCGGGTTATTTAAGCGGGTGCTTTTTGGCGTTTGGATGATAGTCCGCTAAAATTTTCATCGCTAAAATAGGCAGTACTCTTTTTCGTGTCCTTCTGGAAAGAACACATTCTGGAAACCCTGTGTCCGCTTAAATTAATTACGATAAAATTATTTGCATAATTATTGGCATACCTTTGCGCAGCCAACTAAAACGCTTAATTTTACAGCCGCCAAGAAAACCTGCTACACGGTATGTAATTTCAGGCTTTAAAAGAAAACAAAAATGACTGGATTCTAAGAAACTTTCTTTCACAAGGTTTCCATAGTAATCATGACCTCAAACTTTTCTTTTCATTTTCCGTACGAGAATCAGAAGTGTTAACTTCAATGGAAAAATATCGAATCCTGAGATCCTAAATTTATCGTCTTTTGCATGATTTTTACACGAACTGAAGCAGTAAAGAGGGGTGGGTGGTTGTGGCCATTTTCAGACTAAATTGATCTTCTTTAGAAGAAGAGCTCCATATGAAGATAAACAAAAATGATCAAATTTTAAAATTTATATTTATGATTTGTTTTTCTTTGCTAAGTATCAGTTGAACTGATTAAGATATCATATCTAAAAATTATTTTTAATTTTTTCACCCCAGCCTTCTTAATATCCTAGCCTCTCCTTTTATCCTTAGACATCAAGAGGCCTGGATGGGCTTAACTAACACAGTCTACGGCCATACATGGATAGACTGTACTCCTCTGGATTTTTCGAAGTTCATTCTTTTCAAAGACCAAAATCAAATAGACTTTCGGCACGACCATCAGTGCTATACCACGAAGGAACATGACAGCTACCGATGGAAGCAGAAAAAATGTGAAGATAAGTACGCCGTAATATGTGAGCAACAACTCCAAGGTAAGTATCGTCAGCTTAAAGTAGAAATAGTTATATACCTTTCAATCCGATATGGAATGCCAAATTGACATACATATGACTGTATACATATATTCAAATGTTTGAACCTATCCTCAAATAATTGTATGTACACGTATCTTTATATAATTTAACCTATCTTCAAATGATTAAAAGATAGGTACCTGATCCCACCTCTGATGTTGTGGAGGTCCGTGTTTGCTCTGCTGCTATTTTGTATTGTTTTACGGACTTTGATATTGAATACTGTTCGTTATCTCCATATTCTTCCGTACATTTTAATAAAAGATAGACTAAAGTGAATCAACGTTGGGTACTATTGAATGAAAGATAGGTTAAAAAGAATTAAGAATAGGTTAAAAATAATTAAAGATATGTGTAAATAATTAAACCTAGGTAAAAATAAATTACATCTGTTATTAAGTGAATAATACCTATCTTCAAATCAATTAAATCATACCCATATTCATTTCTTTTGAAGATATGTACAATTGAATTAAAGATAGGTACAACTGAATTCAAGATAGGTGCAACTGAATCATATACCTAAAAGAATTAAAAAGCCAATTAGAAATAATAAAAGAGTCTGCGCCTGGCAATGTCGAATCACTTTAAAATCTGAAACTTTAGGTTAAAGTCAGTCGTCTTTAGAAACTGATACTTGGGGAGTCAACATGTAAATAATTTGTGCACACTCAGAATCTATAATGTTCATGTCCACATGTGCTTTATGTAGTAGTGACACCTATCGCCCTTTCCGCGCTATCGTACAATTGTAACTCTTCGCTTATTTTTAGGCTTCGTTCGGCACCCAGGAGAAATCAAACGACTCCTAACTTTTCAGTAGACTAAAATTATTTTGAAAATGACTTTATATGCAAAAGAATATTTTATGTAAATTTTGCTGAAAACTATTAAGTAGTAAAGATATTTTTAATCATAATAATTTTTCTTCAACCTAAAAACCTTTTAAAATGAATTGTAGAGGACGTAAAACTAAAGTGATCATGAAAACAAGTTAAATTGATGCAAAGGATCAAATTAGCTGCAAACACATAATTATTATTTTATCATTTCATTGAATTTTCGCAAAATTTTATTTCAAGGAAAAATCAAATTTAAAAAAATTACATTTACCGTAAATGGTACATTTGTTTTGAAAGATGTTCCCTTGACCTCCTTTTTTGGAGCAATATATTATACTTTAATTTCCAGTGCGAACAAATAAATTAATTAATTCATGGAAAGTGAAGCGAGAAAAAAATCGTCGTGTAAAAGTGCACCAGTTTTGTTGCAACATTACTTTTTTCATAAATTAATAAATTAACTCTAATAAAAGCGTATTTTTATTTCTCGTGTTTGTTATCAAACTCACTTTCCTTTCGCGCACATAATTTCTCTTCAAATTAAGTTTTTTTAAATTTCATGATTTTATTTAAACATTTCAACAAAATATAAATATATAATAACGAGGGCTATTCAAAAAGTTCGTGGACAAATGCTTAATTTTCTTATAATTTAATTTTCATTCAGTAAGAAAAAAAGCAAATTGTAATAAAATGACTTTAATTTGTACAAAATTTGAAAAGATTGATACGTTTTTGACGCAAGTCATTGTGATTGAATATCATTTTATATCAATATGAAGTAAATTTTTTATCCAATTAAAACAGAATTAAATTATAAATATATAACGTGGGCTATTCAAAAATATGCTTATATTATGTGAACATTATAGTTGAATATCCAAAAATTTAAAACAATGCATACTATATTATGAACATTATAGTTGTAAATACTTTGTATATGCAAGCCGCACTGTCCAGACTGACGAAAAGCTAATTTCATGATAACGTCAAAAATATGGAATTTGAATTTTTATTGCATGTTCATGGACATACGTTAATTTTCCTTATTATGCCACAATGCCAATTGTGTGCAATAACATTTAGACCATAATTGATTTAATTTCTAAAATGAAAAATAATACACACGATAATTTACGAGCGTTATCAATATAAACACCTCGTATACACAGGCTGCAAAGACAAGTCCGAGTGCGCTAGATTTATAACGTCATGAATATAAAGGATATCCTCTTTTCAGCAAATGACAGTGGTTTTCCACTTTTTGTAGTGTCGTCAAAATTTTACACATTTGAAAAACATAGACCAATTTCAGTTCAACGGACTAAATATATTCCAACAATTTCAAGTTGTTTGAATAAATATTTTGTGAGGACGTGTCAGCCATATTTAACCATAATTGTATGATTGAACAATTATGTCCCGTTTGGATTGCTGACGTCGCTTTTCTGTCAATTTTGATACATACTTCTTGCAGTTTTAGCTTTATATTTTTACTGTCCATTTAGTAAATGATACTAGCCGAGTCTGAAAATGATGATATCTGCTTTATTTGTGATGTATTTAACTTTTGGTAAGAGTTGACTAGTTTCAAAAAGAAAATGATTTCAATCACAACACTTTATTTAAAAGTGTATGGCATTTTAACCCTGGTCCGTCCACACTATCGGCGACCTTTAATAACTGCGATCTTTTTTATCCCAAATATTAAGTTCAAACAATAAAATCAAATTTATTCTGACTTGGATTTTCATAACAAATTTTCAGTATACAATAAGTATATTTTAAACCATTCATTTTGACAAAAACGCCATTCACAGTCCACGAAATTTTTGGACAACCCTTGTATCTACATATTCATCTGCGTTTCTCATTTATTGTAAAATGATCGATTAATACTGGCTGTTTCTAAAGCATATCTAATCAATTTGAAAGACTTTCTGACTATGATTTAATAAGATCTATATTTGTGAAGTCATAAAATAAATAATTGTATGAGTGTTCAAATTTTAATCCATAAATCTCAGTAAAAGATCAAGTATTTATGATCAATAATTGCCAATTTTTTAACAATGTATAAAAATTGTGATGTTTTCTTTTCTTTTTAAACATTAGACCTGATTAAAACACTTAATCTGAATGATTCAAGTTTATATTTTATATTAAGGAATTTATTAATACCTTTGTAAAATCGTATTTTAAAATACATTGTAAATCACCAAAACACTTTTATATACGTTATTTTTTTTTGCTTCTATTGATTTTAAAATTGACCTTAGCGTCACTCAGGAGAATCTCAGTTTCCCAGTTTTAAACCTCACGGCTAGCCGGTATCAGCTCAGTGCCCTCAGAACCACCTAAGTGCCAGCAGAGTAAAACGCAGTGTCCCTCAAAACTACCATGGTCTCTCAGTACGCGTAGCAGATTCAGTACCACTCAGGGTTTTCTCAGTACAACTCAGTACAATTACATATCATTATATTCAACTAAGCTCTATGATAAACGTGATGACAATCACTTTTGAATCATCAACTCCTCTAACCTGTGCAGCAATATACCTAAGCGTCATCACCCGCATACCGCGGGGTTTATTTCTCTAAGCTGATTCGAAAGTATTCTCTTCGTATATAAAATTTCTATAAATTAAATACCTATGATAATAAATACCTATAAATAGGTAAATTATTGATAAATTAGTTCATGAGACAAGAATATCAGCAGTCTTGTTTAAAGTCATCATTTAGTAAGTTCTTTGATCGATACAATGACCTTTTAAGCAAATACAATTTATCACTGGTCAAATGCTGACTGACGTTTTTCATACTAATTGTTAGTCAATTATTTATACACTGAATTGACGACGAATTTCTCCGTTTTTTCCCGATTATGACAAGGGGTACACGGCGGATGTGACCCCTTGGCAGGGTAAATTATTGATAAATTAGTTCATGAGACAAGAATATCAGCAGTCTTGTTTAAAGTCATCATTTAGTAAGTTCTTTGATCGATACAATGACCTTTTCAGCAAATACAATTTATCACTGGTCAAATGCTCTGACGTTTTTCCTAATTGTTAGTCAATTATTTATACACTGAATTGAGCACCGTTTTTTCGATTATGATGTTCTTGGCAGGGTATGCTCACTCCTCCATGGCACCTGAGAGCACCTCTGATGTTTTGGAGTCCGTGTTTGCTCTGCTTCAATTTTCTGTTTGTTAATGAACTTTTGAGTTTGAATACTGCTTTTTATCTCTATATATTTGATTTATTAAGTGAATTACCAATTATAGGAGTGGTCTGTCCTTTGAGCACAATTCTAGCAGTGGACATCTACAACTACAAATCGGAAGACGAAAGCAGCTGTCAGAATTCATGTGACAGCGATGAAAACTGCAATGCAATGATTTCCTTCTCAAACGGAACTGATCACTGCTTACATTTGAGAAAAACCTCCACCAGCAGCTTGGCCAAAGTGGCGATTAAACTCTGTGCGAAGGGTACGTGCCACCTAGGGTCCAAAACAGTTAAAGCAAAGATCTCTCCAAACTTTTTTAATCAATTGTATTTGTTTTTAAATTGAGATGATATAGTTTCTTTGACAGTATCTGTCTTTGATAAGCGTGTATTACTTAAACTTATTTGTTTTCTGTCTTTCATTGTTTATAAGCAAAATTTTTTTTCAGTGAGCTATTACCCTGGAGATTATATACTTTCTAGAAATTTTTTGTAGGTGAAATCAAAATGACAGATGAAGTCGTAACACCAACAAAAAATGATGATAAAACACCTATTTTTACCTGCTCAAACTCCCTCGGTAACTCACAGTAACATCTCTCTCTATCTCTTAATCTTTATGAAATAAATATATTTACGTTTCAGTTCAAAAACAAAGCATCTTCCCTTTTTAAATTACGCTAACGTGTGTTACTCAATTTGTTTTCTCATACCGTCACAGTTATGAGATTATATCTTTCAAAAAATATTGATTCATTGCTTAAACGAATTTATCCTCAAAACAACTTAAATATATCTATATTTTATATGCGGGCTCGAAAACAAACATATATTTGTAACTAAAGAATATCATACAGAGGCTAAATTTGACAATATAATTAATAATTTTGGACGTTAATAGTCAACTTTTAGTCTTACTTTTAACGAATCTTTATTATGTTCAGTTTAAAATTGACCATTTTATCCAGAAGTAAAATTAACATTCTAATTTATATATAAACTATATCTACCTTTTTTTTCTCTATATAAGAGACCTTCTAGGAATATAACATTTTCAAAACATTCTACCCATATAAAAAAAAAAATGCAGTTTATTTCTCTGTTGTGGATTCGATCGTTTTGGATATGAACAGAATAAGCTGATTCTAATTGTTTATCAATTTGCATATTTATAGTTGTTATTTTTTTACATTCACGTATACATGCATATATTTTAACTTTCAGCGATAAATGTAGACCCTACATCCACAGTAACCATCATAAATACCACCACTGTGTCAATAATGCCTTCGTCCACCATTTTTATTGAGCCAACGAGTTGTTTTAACATCACTGTGTTCGAAACAGCAACTGTGTATCACAATCTTACGACGTATATCCCAGAAAAAACTATTTCTTACATTCAGTCACATTTCACTGCTACCATGACAACTGTAGTTCCAACTACTGTCATAATGACGTCATACATACCGCCATCTACCGTGACAGTGGAAGTGACGCCATCGCTGACGTCATGTAATAACAATCAGACGACAAAGTTCGTCAACATCACAAACACACAATACATACAGGAAGCAGTGGAGAACATCACCAAGGCTTTATATATGGACAAGACAACAATCAGTTCTTATGTCCGATCGAAGACTTGTGCCGAGGATAAGCGTACTTCATCTGCCACCGTGGGATATTTTGGGATCGTTTTAATTGCCGTTCCATTCGGACTTATGTTTCTTCTTGACTTACATCAAATTTGCTTACAGCTAAGTGAAACAGTTAAACGATGTTGTCGTAAAGAGCGCAAAGTTTGAATCAGTAAACATCAAACGGAAAATGAATTTCATGAAGCACGATATTTTACAACAACTGACTCAACGTTAAAAATATACTACAGATCTATCAGAATTTCGAAGATAGCAAAGAACAATACTGAATCTTTTAAGGGGAGAAAATTAAAATAAATTATCAAATCTATAGATTAAAAAAAATACAATTTGAATACTTAAAAAAAAAAAATGCATGACTTGGTTTCATTGTTTGCCAGTTTTTTTCTTGTGGATGTTAAAGTGACAGTACGGCGAATCTCTTCAAAAACGGACTTGTAAAAATTTTCTATAGGATTTGGAATTTTTTTCATACTCATAAATGTATGTATTACACTTTCAGAAAATTACAAGTTTCATAAGTAAATAATTCCGATTATTTCATTACTATTAATAATTATTTATGGTACATAAATATATACATCGCAACATGTTTGAGGTTCCACATTCCATGCTATACACGCATGCGTATAGTTTTTATAAACAAAACAGCATGGGGAAGAGGGAAGCCCGGTAGGGCCTGCTAAATTGAAAAAGTCGATCAAAACGAAAAAAGAAACCAAAAATAGGGTTTGAACTTAAAAAGCACCTTTCCGGACAAAAATTTAGGTGGGAGATTAATATAATCATTGGATGAAGAAGAAACGGAATCTCGATAGAACATTAACGTGGGGCTCGCGAAGGTTCTACCCTACAGGTTTGTTGATACATGCTATCATTTTTCGGATAACCATGCCTTTCAAAGAAAAAAATCATGGTAAACTCAACATAAGAATGCACTTATGACATATAAAAGTTATTGCCATTTGAAGTGCAAACTGTATAGGAACTGCAGAAAGATATTTTGTTTGACATTTTGCCGGGATGAAGTATGATTTGGTGGATTTTCTTTTCCTGCACCCCAATACATGAAACGTCAACATTTGTACTTAATCATGTTAAATTCGTCTGAATGCAGACTGAAATGTTAACTATTATTAATTTACCGGAGAGTTATAATATTTTGATTCTGAGAATTGCTTTTACCTAATATTCCAACGTGTCATTTTAGAATTCACGTGGTATAAGTGAACAGTTCTAAGTTGTACGACCCTTGATTTTCCGGTACATTCTAATTACAAATATTCGTTAATTTTGTATGAGGAGAGAATATTTATTTTCTTTAAAATGCTTCCTTCAACTTTACAATTTTCTAAAACGAAATAAATTATTGACAAACAAGTGGATGATACAATAAAATCAGCAGTCCCGTTTAAAGTCGTCTTTTTTAAGTTCTATGTTCAATATAATGACCTTACCAGCAAATACAATTTATCACTGAGTTAAATGCTATTAATTGTAAGCCCATTATTTACACACATAAGTGACGACGGATTTTTCTGTAAAATCCCGGTCATGACAAGGAATACATGGTGGATGTGACCTGACGGCAGGGGATGCTCACTTCTTCATGGCATCTGATCCAACCTGTGATGTTTCAGAGGTATGTGTTTGCTCTGCTCCTACATTGTATTGTTTAATGGACTATTGAGCTTGAATATTGTTTCTTATTTTCATATTTCAATGTGACAACACGTACGAAATATAATATATATATATATAGGAAATGAATTTCATTTTGTGAAAATTCATGATGTACATGAAATAAAAAAAAGATGCAAAACTTTTAGAAGATATCCAAGTAGAAGCAGGTAGAATCATTACTGGTTTAAGGATATCCGATCCTCAGCCAGGAAGGATAACTCCAGAAATCAATATTTAATTTGAAATGCATCAAAAGGAAGCTTGAACATGAAATTTTTTCATGCAACAATTTTTATTTTATTCATCTTTATAAGATTAAATGTCTTTGGAAGTCTTATAAAAAGGTTTTATAAAAGTTGACATTTGTATCCTATAAAAGGAGAAAAAATTAATACAGTTTTAGAAAAATAAGGTTTTCTTGAATCCAGCCTTAGATACCAATGATTATTAGCATGATATGAAATGAGAAGTGATTGGTGGTCTCTTGCAATGATAGCAAAAGCCTTTAACACTATGTATTATAGAATACATTACGGAAATAGAAGAGAAAAAATGCCAAATAAATATGAAAATCATGACAATTTCTCTGAATGCCTGGATACCTATCGTTTTTTAACCTAAAATATATTTGCTGATCAATTTGCAATTAGAAAATGCATTGCTGATATTCCAATTCGCCTTTTCTTAAAAAATATAGAAGATTTGACAATTTTCCCTATATAATATGATTAACTTTTATCCAGAACTTTAAAGACATATTGTGGATAAATTTACATAACTTTATGGATTCAGAGATACTTTTATGAGTATTTTTGATTGCTTAACTGCTAATTTTATATACCTGAGGATCGGACTACCTTAAGATCAAATTCCTCTAGATCAAAATTGTATGATGTATTAGGATGGGATCTTTTACAAACTAGGAGGAATATTCATAAATTGCTACTATTTTATAAAATCATAAATGACTATTCACCTAAATATTTGACTTGATTGAACCTTTTGTCCTACAAACCACCCCTATAATCTTAGAAATAATAATGCAGAATTCAAAATTCCTTCTATTAGAACTACATTATATAAGTTTCTTTCCATCAACTGTTAAACTGTGGAATTACTTGCCTGATTTTATCAGAAATGCTCCTGGAATATCTTCATTCAAAGGCCTTTTAAATTCTTATTTTTGTAAAAAAGGTAAAGAAATTTATCATTTTGGAATAAGAAAGTACAATATAATACATTGTCAGTTGTGTATTAATGCAAGTAATTTAAAGGCAGATTCATATAACATATTTTTATCAGAAACACCAATGTGTGAATACTGTATTGACTCTGTTGAAAATGCTCATCATTATTTTTTTTGCTTGTCCAAAATATAACTCTCCAAGAAATGTACTTTTCCAAACAATCCAAAATATTATTGATTGTGATCAAACTCATGAACTTGATTTATTTTGTATGGAAGTTCCAATCATGGACTAGGTATTAATATTCAAATATTTGAAGCAGTACATGCTTTCATCGCAGCAACCAAACGTTTTATTTGACACTGTCATGTATGTTACTTATGCCAATACTATCTAACTGGTGCTACATTGCAAAAGTTTTTTTTCTCTATCTATTTTTATTTCTTTTGTTTCTTTGTTACTATGTTTGTCTATTTATTTCAATACCTATATATTGTGTGTTCATCTTGACCTTGTAGGGAGAGGGCTAAAATAGGTTTTGCCTGCTGCCCAGTCCCATTCACTTATGTGAATAAATTTTTTTATAAATAAAATAAAGAAATACAACACTTCATACCGACATTCTTGTCATGAAATATGCCATAGTGAATCGTCATAGTCCATTTCCTCCTGAATTTTCAAAAATCAGACTAATTCTTAAGTATTTAAATTTTGAAAAATGAAAGTTAAAAAAAGGTTAAGGAGAATATTTTATGTGATAAGGTGAAATGCAAAATTCATTTACAAATTTATAAGATGTATGCGATATTTTAAAGTGCAAAGCATACTTGGGAAAAAAAAAAATCCAGTCTACAAATTAAAATCCAGACTTTTTGATATCATTGACAGCTGCTTCTTCAATAAAAATGGAACTGGTAAATTTACTTACCTCGTCACCGGTCATTTGCAAAATTATTTTGTTAAAACAGATTCTGATTGCACATACAAGTACTCTGAAGTTGACATCAAGAAGATGCTTGAGTTTCTGATTGACAATACCTATGTGGTTTTTGGATACCAGGTATTCCAACAATCTATTGGAATCCCCATGGGTACAAATTGCGCTCCGTATTAGCAGACTTATTTCTATATTCATATGAAGCAGAATTTATGCAAAATCTTATGCGTGAAAAGAAGAAAACACTTGCTGTGACCTTCAACTCGACATTTAGATATATCGACGAGGTATTGTCAATTAATAATGGTAATTTCCATTTCTACGTCGATACGATATATCCTGGTGAGCTTGAGGTAAAAGATACCACAGAGTCCGACACTTCTGCTTCAAACTTGGATATTTTACTTGAAAAAGACATTAATGATAATCTAACAACCAAGCTATATGATAAACGTGATGACTTTAACTTTTCTATCATCAACTTCCCTTACTTATGCAACAATATACCTTCATCACCTGGATACGGAGTATATATATCTCAGTTGATTCGATACGCAAGAGCATGCTCTACGTATGAACAATTTCAAAAACGGGATAAATTATTGGCAAGCAAGTTGATGAAACAAGAATATCAACAGTCTCGTTTAGAGTCATCATTTCGTAAGTTCTATGGTCGATACAATGACCTTGTCAGCAAATACAATTTATCATTGAGTCAAATGCTGACTGACGTTTTTCATACCAATTATTAGTCCATTATTTATACATTGAATTGACGACGGATTTTTTCCGTTATTTCCTGATCATGACAAGAAGCACACGGCGGGTGTGACCGGTCGGCAGGGGATGCTCACTCCTCCATGGCACCTGATCTCACCTCTGATGCTTCGGGGTCCGTGTTTGCTCTGCTCTTGTTTTGCATTGTTTTATGGACTTTGAGATTGAATACTGTTTGTTATCTCCATATCCTTCTGTCTAGCGTGTGAAATGAAGGATATGGGGATAACGAACAGTATTCAACATTAAAGGCCATAAAACAACACAAATTAGGAGCAGAGAAAATACTGACCTGAAAAGAAATTCAAATTATGTTCTATATACTGACACGCAAAAGAAACGCAACAAGCAGTAATCTAAAAATATTTGATTTCTTTATCTTATGATTTTCAAAAGCGAATAATGCAAGGCTAAACTCACTTTTCAGAACATCAGAGATTTGATACAAATGTTAAACAGTATTGAATGTTTATCTTTTTACTTTACTAAGAAACATATGACTGTTAAAACACCCCCTCCTAGCCATTCAAGTAAAACGTGCAAGACTGTCCTGAACAACAATTGCAGCTTATTTTCTACGATACAATTGGTTCATTAATATCGAGATCTGAGCGAAGGAAATATTCTTTGGCGTTTTTAAATGCCAGTTTTTCAGATGATTATGTCGAATTTTCTCTAACTTAGAGCAGTGTAGCCACCCTTTGACTTCCGGTACAAGGACTGTCCTTAATGCATATGATACATAAGACCCTGTTGGGGCGTAATGTAGTGAAATTTCGCATCAGCAACTCTCCATCACATTTACAGTGAAATTTTCCAGCTAGAGCACTGGAAATGCGTATATAAGCCATTTTCAAGT